TCTAAAATATTATATGTTCTGCTTGTAGCTGATATAGCAATTATGTCTGAGAGAACAGTAAGGGCTTACCTAAGTGAGAAGTTGTTCCTGATTACCTGGAGTGCCTTTGGAAGGAGAGGGAACTGAACAGGAGCAAAACATTCTTGTTCTAGTGCAAATGTGTTCACACACAGAGGTAACTGTGAACAAATACTACACTCTTAGTTCCTACCCTATTATTAATACACAGTAATGTTGACAGTAGCTATATCCCAGGCATTTTTGGCTTTATAAGTACTGTTCCTGTCATCTGAGTTGCTGAACTGCAGGTCTGCCTAGGTTTCTGGTTTTAGGTGCTCCTCATTACACAACATCTAGGCAACATTTTGCCACTCTAGGCAGGAAAATCATGTCCTTTTTCTCAGAGTGCTCCACTGTTCCCAGCAAACGTAAGACAGCTGAGCTGTCCAGCAGACAACACTCAATGCTTTCCAGCCATTTCTACCAATTTTTAAGAGTATATGTGATGACTACTCCAGTGACAGTGTTACACACTTTCCGCTTCCTTGCGAACAAATGTTCAGTCTTTGGAAGACGTACTAAAACTAGCAGCTGATTTGTCATATGAGAGTCTGAGTACAGGGAACAGTGAATACAGCAAGAGAGTATTTTTCCTCTATTTTGATCTCTGAATTAAATCAGCTTCTAATGCAACACTCATTTTGGGGAGCAGAATGATGCTTTTGGATTAAGATTTCTGCAATAGGAGCAGTCTTTTGGGGTAGTTGACCACTTGTATTTCAGAGTTAGTGCAGATGTGTAAAGGTGACCAGTCACAATATGTGCAGATGCCACGTTTCTGATTTCTCTGCCACTGAGAAGCTGACCTAGAAGTCTTCATATATCTGTTATCATTAACAGAAGAGCAAAAATATTAAAATATAAACCTCAAAGTAAGTAAATTTCTTGAATAAATCGAAGATAGAACCAAAGAAGAAATTTGAATCTGCACGTATTAGGCATAACTCATTCTCACTGCCAGTTCAAAATTAACCGTAGCAGGAGACTTTAATGATACCATTGTTTGGGGAAATTAGACATGACACTAGCCAGTTACCTTCTATTTTGCTTGGTTAGGATTTCCTATTGTTTGACACTCATTAGAAATCACAGTAACCTGCTTTAAGGGCAGTCAAATTAAGATTCCCTCCCTCTGTACAAGATTATTCATCACACCACAGCTACCTGGTAATTGGAAAACAACTAGTGAATTAATATGTCTTACAGAAGCTGTCATCTGAGCGTTTCAGGTAACACACAAGAAATGATGTTACAAAGAATTTAGTCATATACACAATGGCTAAGAAAAACCTGTAGCAGGAAATTAATGCGACAATAATTCTTATCAGATGCAGAAATAATTATTAATCCTTAATGATCCTGGCAGGCCATTTCTTCATGGGGATTTACCTGCCCTTCTGATCCTTTCCGTGCCCCCAGCATGAGAACACATGAATTCCTACCTGAAACTGAGCCCCAGCTTTTCCTTATTCAGGACGCTACCCCGCTGCCCAATGAGTTAGACAAGCCCTGGTATTTGCTGGGCCAAGGGTAAGGAGCCCCTTACAGAGGAACTCCAGCTCTAGAGGCACGTGGAAACATCTAGGCTTCTCGTGTGCCCCCTCAGCTTGGTCTCCCAAGTCCCCAAGTCCCTGAGGTGCTCTGCCTCTCCCTGGGCAGTAGGAGCCTACTCCATGCATTAGCAGCTGTTGCTGAAGCCCTTCAAGACTGTTTGGCGCCAGCTCTCATGAGTTCAGGGCAAATTGTAACATACTGACTCTGGACGTGAAGTTGCTTTCTGGAGGTGGCTCCCTGGGTAGAGGACAAAGAATATGGCAAATACTCCCATTACCTCAGGCGAGGGAAGTCTCTTCTTTTCCAGTTGAAGAGAGAGGGTGACTGATGTGAAGCTTATGTGCTGCAAGGTTATGAATGCCAAGATGTAGCAAACACAGGGCTGTGAGTGGATCAGGTCAGTGAAGAAATATTGTTGTTGGGGGCTGTTAGAACGGCTGTTGGGGCTGTACAGATCCCATTTGCACAGGCAGGAACAGAACATTAGTTGTACAACTTAACCAAATTCAGCTAGGTCCACTCGTGAAGGTAGCACAATGGTAGCACAGTACCATCCACAATACCATCACACTGCCCAACTCTCTGTATTCCCTGTATTTTCAAATAGAAGGTAGACGAATTTCCACTTCTGATAGTTCAGCCCGCAAAACGAAGAGAGAGAGATAGAAAAAAGACTAAGAGAAATTTTACAAAACTGTGGAGGGACCCTTCTGCCTCAGTGAGAGGACTGATCACTTTATTTTTGCTCAGATGCCAGGTCTGCATTTGAAATAAAAAAGTAACATACGGTTTTATAAAGTTATTTCAGGAGGGGGCCCTGAAGGAGGAATGTAGAATGAGGTAACACAGGGCTGGAGAGATCAGACAGGCACCAGGAGAACAAAAGCTGCCACTGTTAGGGATCTGGGAGTTGATGTTGGATGAAGCGGGGCCTCCCGCTGTTCTCTGCTCACTGTTGCCGTGGCCAGGCTGGCATCGCTGTGCAAGGGGAAATGCAGCGAGGAGCTAATCTATCGGAACAGAAGGGCAGATTTAGCTTGAGAAGATGAGCATGCTGAGCTGGTTTCTGCTCTGTTACCCCCTGAAACCTCACTGATATCTGCAGAGCTCCCCAGCTATAACTAGGAGCAGACAGGGGTTCTTTATGCATTTTCTCCAGAGCCACACAGTTGAGGATTTGGTGAGGACTGGAGAAACTGATACTGAGATTTTCAGCTCTGCAGGAGGGAGTCTCTGTTTGCTTAATTTGGGAAGAGACAGTCATATAACTTACAGCATGTAAAGCTTAAGCAGTGAAAGTATCCTCCAGAGCATAGCCTAGGGTTCAAGACAGCTAAGAAAAGTCTTTCAGGCTGTCTGAGTCTTTCCACAATGCTTCCTCCATTCCTCCAGGTACTCACAAAAAATGTCTGCTGCAAACAATGCAAACATTTTAACTTTTAATGAGGCATGAAATGGAAAACATCCAGGCTGGGCCAGCTGCTTGGTACCTTGATACAGGAAGCCTCTTTTATAAGAACCTTCTGTCACTGAAAGGTTTTAGGACAAGTGTCCCTCCAGAGCGACAGTTTGTCTGATTTAATTCTGAAAGCTCCAGAAACTGCTGCAATCTTCTGTTACCGAGGTCACATTCGAACGCTTTTTCCATAAGGGTACTTGTAAACTACACTCTCTGTTGGCAAGCAGTTTGATCAGATGGAAATGTGAACAACTTCTGTTAGCCATGTACTGTGCTTCCAGAGAGGACCACACCACATCTGGCAATAGGTCGGTGTTTCTTCAAGATCTGGTTGCCCATACATGTGCCAAACAGACAGCACAGGAAGCACTCTCTGGCAGTTCCCGGTAACGTGCTCATTACAGCCCGCTCGTATTGCCGTCCCCATTTGTGCAAGAACTACACTGTAGGACCAGCAGGGTTATGACAGCCATGTTTAGTCTGACCTGTATATGAAGGGTGATATAATTTCTCCCGGAAGGTGAATTAAAGAGTGTCCTCTGAAAAATAGCTAATCTCATAATTTTGCCTAGTTCTCTGGCAAGCTCTTCTGGTACTGAGTGGCCTTCACTGCTGTTTCTATTGTGTTTTATTTCAAGGCAAAATTTTTAGTTTCTGGCTTTTGCAGTTGTCTCAAAAGAGGGATCACGATAGCCGAAAACCTTCTCTCACAGTTGTCTTCCACCATATAAGTGCCTGTAGTGGTAATCAGATCCCTTCTTAGTTACCTCTTTGATAAGCTGACAGGCCTGAGCTCCTTCCAAAGCATGCTGGACCACTTTTGTTCCTGGATCACCTTTTGGCTCTGCTGGCATCCCTTCTGTATTTCTTCTTTCTTTCTGAAGGAAGGAGCATAGACTGGATATGGTTTTCCAGCATTTTGTCACTGGTGCTGTGTACAGAAGAAGGAACACTTCCTGCTTGGGCTTGTGATACTCCATTTTAAACACTTGGAGACTGGAAGAGTCTCCTTTTGACAGTTTGCACTGCAGCAAGGGCTAAGGCAGATCTCTCTCATGTCCTCTAAGTCCTTTTCAAGGCAACTGCTTTCCAAGGCAGCATCCTGTAAGTGTAACCTGCATTTCTGGTTTCAGATGGCTTGCCTTGCATTTGTCTTCTTAAATCATATTTCACTGGAGTGTGGCCAATTCTCAGTTACTTCAGATCACTGCATATTGGTAGTCCAGTCTTGCTTGTTGTTTCCCTACCACCAGTCTTGTTGGCATCTGCAAACTTTGCCACAACAGGACTTTTTATAGCATCATTTAGACTGTTGATTAAAAGCAGTGAATAAAACTGGAAGAGAAGTTTCACTCTTCTTTTATCCAAGATATTTTTACCCAGTGTAATATTTTTGTACCTTTATTGAACTGTGGCTATTGGAACCTCCAGTAGAATGCCTTTGAAGAGTAGCCAGTGTTCCAGGAATGCTTTCCACTTTAAATGTGTATTCCCAGTGCATTATGCCGACAACTGAGGTTAAGACTTGGGAAAATAGAAATGTTAGATGCATAGGTGTGTGCATCACTGCCGGGTGGCAGGTTGTTTGCACAAGTGTAACTAGATCATGCCCTGTGGTATCTAGGCAACTTGCTGGGTTTTAGATCAGCAATTAACTCTTCTTTGGCCTTCAGAAGCCCAGCAGGAGGTTTCCCCATGCAGAATGCTACAATTCCTGGGCTGAAGGCATTACTGTTTCTCAAGAATTTTTGTTCCTGGCTTTATGAGATGTCTGGTAGGTCTTCCGGGTTGAAATCCACCTCAATAATGCAACTTTGCTTCCTCCCATCATGGGGAGAAGTGAAAGCCATGCTGGACGTTCTCTCTGTGGTGGTGGAACATGCTGTTAAAACGCATTTTGAACGTTTCTTTTCCAGTGGAGAGGCCAGTGTGCAGCCAGTCCCAGTTACCAACCTGGGTATCCATGGGGAATAGGGCTGACAGGAGCTCCTGCTGTGATTGCCGTGGAGGAAGCTGGATGTATGAGCTTCTCCAGAGCCAGTCAAGGGGACTGCAGGTAGGTACCATCGTTCCCAGCGCAGCAGTGCAGGCCCTGAAGCTAAGAGATTTTTGGTCTTCATAACAGGCACTGATATGGCAGAAAGCCACCTTTGCTTTCCCTCAAGTGCTGTGGGTTGTTCAGCCCCTCTAATGGATGTAACCCAGGAGCTTGCTTAGATCCCAGACTGTGAGGGTTGCAAACCTAGGAATTTGTTTCTAAATATCCTCACCCTCTAAAACCAGACCCAAAGCCACTGCCACCTGACTCTGGGAGATGGTGGTGTGGTAGGAGTCCCCACCTTTTGCAGCGCTTCCTAATCAGAGAGGTGTCACTGTTGCTCTTTGGGACACAGGCAGCTGTTCTGACAGTGACTGTATAGCAAATCGCTTTAAAGAAATAACTCCTCAGAGTCTCAGAACTACTCAGAGGGCTCCAGCCAAACGTCCCCAGGCTGGTACAGCAGAGCACAAAAGAAATAGTTGACATTCAGAACACAGTCTTCAGCCGCGCAGGACCTGAAAGCACTGACATGTTTGTGCCTCTGGGGACAGGGGTAGGAGAAAGCAGGACAGCATTTGACATGGTAACAGGAGCTCTTACTTGCACAGCTAGAGGCAGAACAGTGGTCATTAAAAGAAGGTGACTTGGCCTTCATGGCGACATTTGAGTTGCTCAGGGTTGCAGCCTGCCTGGGTTTTGAGTCGTGAACTCATGGTGACATTGGCTCTGTACAGGAGACTGAAAAATGGTTATGACTTGGGAGCTCCTGCACCGCCAATGGGAAAAGGTCATGAAAAATAAAAGAGAGTGCCTTTGACAGGAAGCAGGGAATATCTCTGACAATATACAAATATCCAGTTGCTTCATCTCAGGCCCGTTGCTCATGGCATGCAGGCAGGAGAAAACATGAAGGGAAGGCACTGAAGGGAGCTTCCTGTACATGCAGCTCAGTACAACCAGGGAAGACTTTGGGCAGTCCATCCCCCGTCTCTCTCTGGTTTTCGTTATGTTTTATAGCCACAAATAAGAACTTTATCGACTTTACTCCTCTCCTGTCAGGTGCCCAATCAACATTTGGCAATACAGCATTTCCCAGAAAGTGCTGACCTAGTGAGAGCCAGTGGAGCAGGAGGTGCTGAGGGAAGGTCTCCATCCCCCTCCCATCCCTGGTTGCTCTTTTACTTATCTTTCCAGGCTGAAGTAAGACGTGTACCCCTGCCTCACCCTTAGTGCCTGCCTGCATTTCAGAGCACCAGGCTTATGGAAGCTCCCCTGGAGAGTGCGAATGTGATGGTCTCAGTGTGTTAGAGGTCCCTGGCAGACTTTCAGGAGATACAAATGCTGGGGGAAATGTGTCCGTCTCTAGTGTTCCTGAGAGCAGTGGCAGATACTGAAGATTTTTCCTCGTTTTGTTCCTCCCTCCTTTAAAATAGTTCAAGGAAAATGAATGTCAGGGCTCATTTCTAGCCAGCTGTTCCTAGTTGGGCTGGCCTCCTGGTCCAGGAACGTTTAAGCTGTTCCAGTTGTGCTGTTATAACAGCCCATGTCCAGCCTGCCATGAGAGTCCATGTTGAGAGTAGTGCTGTTCCACTGCAGTATTTTTTATCCATCTCTGAGCTTCCACCAGTTCACTTTCCCCTGTAGGGTAGCTGTCAGTCCTGTGAAAGCACTAATTAATGGGGAATTAAACAGATAGGAGGCTTCACCGGCAAGCAGCTACAACTATAGCCAAGATGGGATGATTGGGGAAGAGGCTTCAGGCATCCCCTTGAAGAGATGCTGCAAATCTTTAGCAGCGTGGTTGTAGCCGTGGTTGGAAGGCACCCAAGAAAGCGTCTGGGACATCAAGGGACAGGGAGGAGCTGAGCAGGGAGCAGGGCATCCCGTAGAGCTGATAATGAGGCATTGCATCTTTTCTTAGGGCTAGTCTAGGCCACTGCATGGGGAGGAAATTTGACAAATGACTCAGAAAGGGGCTGTGGACCTAGGGCTGTCCCTGGCCAGTCTAACAAAACTGCACGTGGCAGGGCAGGGGGCATAAAGAAGAGCTAAGCTCTCCCTTCTGCCGTATGCTTTTGCTCGGATTTGTGCAGGACTCAGAATCTATGCATAAAAATGCAGGGGTCTTTCCTGAAGGATTTTTGGTAGAATTTCCTGCAAGTTAGAGGATTTTAAGATCTAGCAGAAGATTGACTAGAAGGAGAGAAACATATTTTTATGTACTTTGGTGTGCATTGGGCTAATAATAAAATTCCGGTGTAACAAGCCAGAGGCAAGTTCTGTTCTATTTGAAGATTAGCCCATGTGCAGCTGCTCCAGCAGGTCCGACAGGTTCCCCTGTCAGATCCCTGGGCTCCCACAGCAGCTCTCTTGAGCCCCCTTTTCCCACACAGTTGCACCCTGACTTCACCCTCAGGTGTGGGTGGCTTGGTTTGCACTGAATTGTGGTACCTGCCTTTCCACATCTCGGGTTTTCTTTGTTCCCTATCTCTTGGATTCCAGCTCTATGCGGGAGGTCAGGGCAGTTCTTCTCTCTTCTCTGCTACAATCTTCTCTGCACTTTTTTGCCTTTTTTCTCTGCGTTGTTACTCTCCTGTTACCTCCGTGTGAAGTTCCCTTCTGTCCCTGTTGCACTCTGATCTCTCTGATCATGTTCTCTTCTGCCCACACATCCTCTTGGGGCTCCACAGCCCCTGTAAGGTCTCCTCCCACACCTCTGCCCTAGGGCAGCAGCTGGCAAGGCTGCTTTGTGGCTGCGAGTGTTTTTGTCACCTGGAGTTAAGGTGCCTGAGGAGCCTGGCACTTCCATGTCCATGAGGAGAGCAGCTTGGGCTCCCCCTTCCTCCTGCCCAGAAGTGGAGCTGGCAGATGGCAGAGCGTTGGGGGAGAAAGCAGACAGGGCAGACGGGGGCAGCTTTTTCCTTGGCAGCTCCAGAGCCCCAGCCAAGCTCTGGCACCACTTCAGTTTCCCCTGCCCAAAGAGTTCTCCCCAGACCACATCCCACAGTAAAGGAGGGGAGGGCCAGCTCCCTTCACATTCTTGGCTATTCTCCTTGAAATAGCAAACCTTACCATTAAACAAGGACACAAACGCTTGCGAACCCTCACCTATATTAGGTGCCTGCAGCCTGGTCCCTTCCTGGCCATTTTTGGAGCATACAGTCATATCAAATGTCCTGTCAATCATCAGAGCTGGGTATCTTCGGTTGTCCTCAGCCCCAGGTCCACAGCGAGATACAGGCTGTTTAGAGAAAAGGTCCCAGCCTTACTGCCTAATCAGATGACCGCTCATGTGAGCAAATGCCACCAGTGGGAGCTGAGGCATCATAATCCAGCCCATAATGCTCCTTTAAAGACATTTCAGCAGCTCAATTAACTTTCCACGTCTGTGTTTTCTTTTTTCCCTCTTTGCTTTCATGGTCATTTAAAACAAATAAAGTGAGCAGAACATGGCAGCGTGATAACCACCATTTAATTTTCTTCCCACGGGTCTCCAGATTATTTGGTGATTCAGTGGCAGCAGGGGGAACATTTACGGAAAGGGAGGGGGGAGCTTCCCGCAGGGACAGCAGTACAAAACAGGGCCCCTGAGCATCTCTGAGGAAATACGTGCCTCTGGTTTCTTTTTAAATACCATGGATATGGTGAATGCAGCACGCAAGTCCAGGCCTTGGAACTGATACAGCCACCGCTTCCCTGCTTTCGTGGCGTTCCTGTTCTCATTCCATGTCTCACTGCCCCTGTGGTTCTCACATTGTGAAGTGTGGATGAAGACCAATGTTCAGGATACATTTCACGCCTCTGTGCAAATACAATATGAGATGGAGAATTCGTACCCTTAGACAAGGAGACGAGAGTGTATTTTCTCATAATAAGGAAACACAGCCAGATTGGAGCCTGCCAATTTCTCTTCAATGCTCCCAACTTCCCTAGGAAGTTCAAACAAGCTAATGCTTTTAAACAGGCAGAGGGAAGTATATTATATTAAAAAAAGAAAAAAATCTTCTTGGATCTCTTTCATATTCTCGAAATTATTCTTGAAACCTCTGTCTTCGTAGGTGACTTTTCCAGCTCCTCCATTTGATCTGCTCTGACTGCAGTGGTGGTGAAGGAGAATACCATGTGTTTTCTGTGTTTGCGAACAATTAATAGTGATACCGCGTTTCACTGGAGCAGCATGTAAAATGCACCCCAGGAGGGAAAAAATAGCAACCAACCAGACTGTTAAGCAGGCCAGAGCTTTTGCTGTCCTGTAGGAAAACACAATGTGGGGGTTTGCTTATTCTTCAGCAGCAGTAAATAACGGGCGATCACCTTGAGTTCTCCTTCAGCTACTTCTTTATATCCCCAGCCTCTGTGCTAGGCACAGGAAAGAAATATTTACTGTAGTTTGGACGACAAACTGTATTTCTATAGCTATCCAAATTTTAGCTGTTGTTTTCTGTCTAAAAAAGCATGGCTTTCATAGCTTTGGCTTCTTCTTCCCCAGCATCAAAAGCCTCTGGAGCGCATTCTGCCAGTCTGACAGTGAAAATTGGTCCTGAGCCATTTGCCTGAACCTGTCAGCCCCACATCATACCCACGCATTGTGTATGCAGGTGGTTTGGCTTGGGAAGGACGCATAATGCACGTTAGTCATTTAATACATTTATAATCTAATATCTCAGAACGACACAGTCAGCAGTTTTTCTTGCTCCTTCTGCAGTAGACACGCTTCTGTCCCTACATCGTTCTGTGCCTGTGCCAGGAGAAGGTGTTGGCTTGCCCAGCACCGGTGTGCTAAGTCCCTTCAAAAAAGGCTACAGCAGCATCAGCTTCCGCACATTGACCCTTGACTGCACCTCTGCCTGCCCTGGCAAGGCAGGACCCGTGTCTTGAAGAGCAGCTGTCTATCCCGTGAGCCCCCGGTGTCCACAGCCTCTTCACTGAGGTCAAGTGCAGGAATGTCTGCCTGACGGCTCCAGCTGTACTGGGAACCTCCAGCATATGTCTTGCCATCGAATGCTCACAGCATCCCTTCGGTGCATCCAGGCATCATGACTTGCATTTGATGTCACTCAAGCTGAATGTGAGCCTAGAGGCGCAGAGGTTGCAGAGCTTTTTCCCCCCAACCTGCTGCACTCTATAGTCGTCCTGTCTTGTCTAATTTTCCAGTGGGGAAGAGAAAGGTGAGGCAGTGCATGAGTTGGAGACTGCAGTGCACCTTGGAAGTCCCAGCAAGCCACAAGTGGCCAAGACCTGCGATGTACGTTGACCGGCAGAGCTGCAGATACTGGGCTCCTAAAAGCTGTGCCATACCAAACATCTTCATACAGTTGCCTGAATTAAAATGATTCAGGAAACACATTTTCAGACTGTCGGTGAAATGCATTCGTCACTCCCCTGAACATGCACCAGATTGTTAATGCTTCGGGCCAAATACCATATCTTTTTTAATGCCTACAAAATGTGGTGCATGCTGCTGGCTCTGTATTTATAATAATTATGAAAGTAACGGCAGTAGCTGCATTTCTATAGGCTACAAATGGCTGGGCACAGACAAGAAAAAAATGATTCATTGTTGCAATTAATGCTTGAGCTTGCACCTGTGATTAATTAGCCTGGCGATAGTGCTATGCAAAAGATCGGGGTGAGAATTAATAGGGAGACAAGTGCCAACTTTTAAGATGGTTAGACTGCTGTTTAGTGGCCCTTCCTTGGGCTGCCTGTGCCCATGTAATTAAAGGTAATGGCACAGTCTTGCTGTGCACCGATAGACCCACAGGCAGGTGGTGCAGAATATCTATATGACAGCGCTCAGTAGAAAACTTCAAAATTAAATTCCCGTACAGGTCTCTAAATACAATTTTGAAATGCCGGAGACGGTAAGAGGAATGTTGGCACTGGTGAGATTACAGTCAGGGGCACACAGTGCTCTTCCAGATTTGCACTGGGCAGCATCTAGAGCAAAGGATCTTGCTCTGCGCTGGTGACTTTGCAGCGATTGCGCTTAAGGGAGACTAAAATGCTATGATGGACATCCTTCAAGGGGTGGAAGGCAGAGACACTAACAGGAGCATGTGCTACAGATAACTCCTATTGATACTCCTATTGATACTCCTATTGATGTCTGTTGCTAAATGCTACAGACACTTCGGTTAAGTGTGAAGCAACACTGCTGACAGGGTGGGTGAGTGCCAGGGTTAGGTGTGTTGGGCCGGGGCAGGAATTGCAGGGGTTGCTGGTGCTCGGGGTCCTAGTGTAGGAGCTGGAAGGATAACCTAGCAAGGTCTGCCCCAAACCATGCACCCTTCAAGCAGAATTGAGCACGCCATTCCCTCCTAAAGCCATCAGCCCAAAGTAGCGTGCGTGGGGCTGCCTGGTGACTGCGTGTGCAGCGCGGGTCCCCGCGTGGCTCGGGGAGTTTCCCAGCAGCAGGCTTTCTGCGCTCCAGCACAGCTGGGCACACTGCAAGCGGCATCGACATACGAATGTCACCTTGCTGCTGCCCCCTTAGAGATACCGCTGAGAGTGAAGGAGGAGGGAGAGGGTGTGGAGAAGAGAGCGCGCTGATGAGTGCAGCCTGATCAGACGCTAATGGAGAGAAGAGGGATGAGAGGTGTTGCACCGAGATCCACCGAGAGAAAAAGCTCTTGAGAAGAGGCTCTAGCATCGTTCTGGGAGCACAGAGTCAGTGGCAGGGCTGCCCGTTGTCTCTCTTCTACGACCTTTCCCTGACTTTCATCTCTTTTCTCATCCCAACTTCTTTTTTTCTCCAAGCGAACCGCTCCGTGAGGAGCAGCTTTGCTGTTTTTTTACTAGGTGTCTTTGACAGGTGAGATGGAGCAGGAGCAACTCCGAAGAGCCTGCAGGTTCCCATGAAACACAAACTGCCCTGAAGAACCTAGTCTTTAGGGTAAGCCACGTTGGTAAAGTTTCTTCTGCAGGTTTTTCCACCTCTCCTTCAGCTGGCTCATTATCTTTTCCTTCTGTCTATTTGTGTCTCCCGCCACCCCAAATCTTTTTTCCCAGTTGCAGCAGCTATAGACTGGTTTATATAGATGGGGTTTAACAAGTCTTCCCCCCCGCCTGCTCCCGAATCGCTGACAAGGCCGATTTATCTGTTCACCCATCAATGTGAAAGCACACGCAAAGTTTTATCTTAACTGTCTTAATTGTTAGGAGCTGCAACCCCAATATCTTTGTAAATAAAATGGTTTAATCTCACGGGGCATGCGTGGTGGAGAGAGTCGAAGCAGTACATCAATATGTAAATAGATCCACAAGAGAGGGATGAACTGGGACTTTGCAAAATTGATAAAGCATCTTAGGACACGTGTTGTCACTACACTTCTTGCATACTCTGCCTGAGCAGACAGGAATGCTGGATCTCAGCCCTGGGCTGTGGGAGAGGAAGGGAGGGAGAGAGGGAATGTGGGCACGAGCACACTGTGACTCAAATTCTTTTATAGATTGATTTGACTTGAATATATTCTGGGGTTGGTCTAATTGCTAGTTCAGTCTCAGGCTTTGATTTTCTTGTTGCTTTCCCATCTCTGCTGCTGCGTCTTTCCTGCATTTCAAGCAGCCTTACCGGGGGCAGCACCCAGACCAAACAGATCCTGTGTCAGACCAGAATGTGTGATACCTGTCCTGCTCAGCCCTCCCACAAAGGGTATGTAGCAGAGTATGCGTGAGCTGGAGTGAAGGTCAGACTTTTGCTCCATGGGTTTTTGCCTGTGTAAGGACATCAGGGTTTATTTTGAATAACAAAGCCTGAAGCTTCCATGTTGTTTATGGTGGGCCCATGCTGGTGTGGCCCTCAACAGAGGTCGTCTTAGTGAATTGTGGCAGCCTAGTTAAATGCAGCTAAAAAGGAGAAGGTGCCACAGCCAATTTGTTCATGCTGACACGCATCCTGCAGGATCCTGCCTGCTACAGGTCTGGGCATTTGCAAGCTGCCTCTACAGACAACAGCCCTAACTTCTCCCTGCTTTGTGTCACAGGCCGTGGTGCCCACCAACGTGAAGGGCCGCTCTGCTGATCTGGTGCCGTTGTTCTTCTACCCCCCAGGTGGAAATAGTGACACGAAGTGGCGGCGAATCCCACCGGGCTTTTGGTTCACAAGTCGCAGCTCTGCCTGCCGTGTGCCAGACAAGAGGAAACCCAGCAACCTGTTGGGAACCTCGGCCGCTCGGGGCGGAAAGGAGAGGAGGAGAAGCCTCCCGCTGCATTGTCTGGGGCGCTGCCTCCGTTTCCGCCGGCTGAGCTCCAGCCCTTGTTTTGCAGCACGCCGCGTGGAGTTTTATCACCTTCAACAATGAAATCTGTCACCTTCAAGCTGCTTTATTGTAATCTGGGGACTTTCGCCCTGTCCGCTGTAACCCTGCTCCGGGCTCCTACCCCGCAGGGCTGCATTCCCCACCACGCCATCGCTAACATCTATCGATTAGGCTCCTTGCTGAAACCAACGGTGTTAACTTTAGGGGCCGCATTTGTACTTGTTTTCTCGCCGGGATCAGATAGTTAATTGATCTTCCTCGTCCTCTTTGCCTTGCTTCTGTCTTGCGTGCCTCTGAAGCCTCTTATTCCGATGGCTGCCTCACCTTCCCCTCCCCGCCCCCCTCCAATGTGGAGGATAAAAGCCGATCAGACATGCAGTACAGGCAGTATTCAGCAGGTTTCCTGATCTGATATTTGAAAGAATGCAAGGTACAAATACAGGTTTTGAACTATGAGACCTTCCTGTTGCATCGGTTACACACGTCTGAATCAGATTAACCGGCATATCTCATCTCTGAAAAAAACAATTTAATGATTAAACTCAGGGAAGGGTACTTCTTCAGCAGATACAGCTTGGATGTTACCACTCTTGGAGTGTGTTGTGTGCGGTTTTTTCCTGGTTTGCAAACAATTTTCGCTTGCTGTTTTTCTATGGCTTTTATTGTAGATGCATTTTTATTTTAGGGGTTAAGTCATTTTCATTTGAAATGCACTTATGTACATTTGCATACACATTTATACAGGCTAATTAAAAACTTACCATCAGAGTTGCTTTTCTGCTTACAAACGCTCTGCAGCAAAATGGTTGTTGCTTTTTGGAAATTGGAGCTTTTTGTAAAATCATTTGGTCAAATCTTTGGGGTTTAGATGTTCAATGAATAATCAATATATGCAGCAGAAGATTTAAGCAAAAAGGGTTTTTCACGGAAGTTTTCCATAGGAAAAAATCTATAACATGTATTATTAAATATAGAGAGGCTTATATCTTGATTTTTTATCTTGCCACAGCTTATTATAGCCGCTCAGAAGCTTGAAACAGATCTTTTTCATTGAACAAAATCTGTTACCCCGCCACATTCGCTGCAGGCTGCGTGCTGGAAGGTGCCTGTGCCCAGCAGTGCGGGCCTGGAGGGCTGCTCACATCGTTCTCAATGATACATGTTATTTCATAAGCCAGGGAAATACTTATGTCAACAATGGATGTGTAAAGGATGACAGCAATAGCAGGCCAACAACCAAGGGGCAGCATGTTTTCTCCGTGGCGTTTTTGTATACCTGCCTCCGGAGATTTTTTTAACCACTTCGATGGCAGCTTTGGGAGAGTCCCCTGGTGACTGAAGTTGTAGCTGGTGATGGACACAGCTCTTTCCACTAGTCTCTTTTATTGCCAACGACCTGGACCTGTGAGACATTCCCTCTCTCTCTCTCAGAACTAAAATGCCTCTGTGCAGCTGGTTACACGCTTGGAGATTTTAGGAAATGATACTGGACTCTAGGGCTTGGAACAGACTAATTTCCAGCACCATCAGCAAGGAGCTAGGAGAAAAAGCTCCTTACTCTGTTTCCCGCGAATTGCTGCGTTTGCCAGCAATGGAACTTGCAGGCCAGGGCTCCAAAGCATTGCTTACGCAGCCAGGCAGAACGGGAGTAAAGAAATCCTTCAGTCATGTTTTCATTCCCCATGGCCAAGCTCCAATATCCAAAATGGGATTGCCAGAATAGAAATGCAGTTGTATTTTGCCTCTGCTGACCTTCAGCAGCTGCAGCTCCAGCCCTGGGCCTCTGGAGAGCTCCGGGGATGCACCTCTGCACTGATGTGTCCGTCTCTGATCCTCCTGCCTTGAGCTTATCCCAAGCAGAGACTGCCGACTGACCTACCCAGCTGTGGGGGTTTTGTGGCAAGCCAATGGAAACCTTTTCCCCAGCACATACAAATATGCTTTGCAAGGCAAAAATAAGCAGTGACGCAAACATCACACTCCATTTTATTTTCCTTTGCTTCAGGATAACAGGAAGGGGCAAAAAAGGATTGACACTTGATCCCACCAAGGGCTTTTTCTAAGATGCCTGCTGGGAACACTCACTGTATGCTTCTCTTCAGGTAGTAGCTCTTTTGATTTTTCTCTCTGCCTTGCAAGTCATACTGAGGAGCCTGGAGAAGGACTTGCTGATTGCTTACGAAATCCATTCTCCCTTGAGGATCTATTCTTTCCATCTTGATAAACTTTTAATTCTTGCTTTCTAATAACACTGAGTAACTGTGTTTTCCAAACCTGCCTTTATGAGGGATTTGTGATTGATGTTCATCTGCGCTTGCAGGAGACCAGTAACCTCATTTCATTTTTGACAGAACATCAGGCCAAGGGCTCTGCATCCTTCTCCTTTCTTGGTCACATATAAATGAAAGAGAAAGTAGAGCAGATATAATCTGTCCAAATCTGTCATTTTGACTCACTTGTATTCCCTCACCATATTGCTAAACTTCCCACACTGTTTCTGTCCAACATGGCATATGGGCACATGTTTAAAGGCCACGCTCAGCTTATTTTTCATATAGTTCTGTTACCTTGTTTTTATTCTTGGTTTTGTACGCTAAGGTCTAGGATATTTGGAGCTAACTGCTGTAACTTTGCATGGGAATAGATTGTTTGAATATGACCTCACAGAGTCAATGTAAATTTTTAGCAGATAAGACTTGGACCCCAAATGTCTTTTTTAACCTGTTATTGTCTCCTTCCAATTCCATACCCTCTGCCCTCTCTTTCTGATGTATTTCCAGCAACTTTGAGATGAGCGTGGCTCCCATTTTATGCTTAAACCAACCTCATCTGTGATGCCAGAACCGTATCTGCACGATAGACATGGTCAAAAGAGAGCGCTCGCACTTATGCACGTGTATATAGGCACACATACATGTAGGGACCACTGGAGAAGGACTTGTCACTATGAGAAATGATGAGGAAAATGTCTATGATGATGAATTCACAAGAAATACGTAAAATACTATATAGCTAGCCAGGTTAGTATCACTCACCAAGCTACGGCACTGTTCCCATAGAGAAAAGTCATTTCCCTTTTAAAATCAATTTTATTTCCATAGGAAAAAGGACATTCAGAGGACCTTCACTGTAAGAGAGAAAGTAGAAGAGCTGTTATACCTGCCCCACTGCGTGTGCTGCTAAGCAGATGCTACACACAGGTTTGGTTATTTCTTATTTTTTCCTCTCCCTTTGCTTTTTACTTTGAAACGTCTGCTTGAGTTCTCAGTGAAGAACAGCTGAAAGACTGTGCAAATGGCTTAAGAATTCAACAGGCCATAAGGTATTTGGATTTAATGTAGTGCCTGGGAGAGAGCGTTTTACACTCCCTTGCTAAACAATCCCCCTTCTGTCACCGACTGAGGTTCCCGTCCTTTGTTCGCCATGATGTCATATTCCCATTAACTTCCCAGTGGGCTGTGGAGCCTTCAAGGAAAGGACAAGAGGAATGAATGAGGCTTCATTTCTTCTTTAAATCCCCCAAGGTCCTGCTTAAAAAAGGAGCCTCGTGAGCCATCGTCCTTTGTTTTGGTTGTGCTTCTTGGCTTTACTTTTTCATGATTTCCCCTTGCTCGCCCCTTTGCAGGACGCTGTAGAGCGCTCCAGGAGAGCTGTGCAGAAGCCGCTCGGCTTCCCCAGGCTGGGCTGCAGCTCTCGTGGCGCCAGCTGTTGCTGGGGCGCCGGTCGGGCGCTATTCTGGCAGCGAGACAGAGCGAACGGGGCACCCCGGCGCTCGCCCCTGCTGCTCCGCGGCAAAGGCGGGCAGGTGGCGGAGGGAGGGTCCCCTCACGCTTGGGTTCCTGCTCATTCCCTCTGCAGATGCAGAGCGAGGCGGGAGGGAGCGCAGGGATGTCCCACGGTATGGGCTGCCTGTTACTTCTTTTTCCCCCCCCTCTTTTTTTTTTTTTTTTGCCTTTTTAAGCCAAGTGCACAGTTCTCCCAGGCAGTCTCAGCGCTGCTCATGCCTGGGGCAGGTAAGGGGGCTGAGGGACCTGTTGGGCGCCCCGGCAGCCTCTTTGTCATCAGCCCTGGGTCCATGGAAGGTGTGACCAGGACTCACACGCCGCCTTACCTGTAGCTCACCCTTTGCTTCCCATTTCTGTGTTGTCCCTTTGCCCGCTAGGAGAGTGTGCCCCCAGGACACGCAGGCACCACTTCTGGAGTGTTTCTAAAGCCGTTCTTGTTAAGAAATTCCTGTTGTTGGGTTTGGGGTTTTTTGTTTTTTGGTTTTTTTTGCTGACCTAAGCGAGCTGTATCTTTTCCACATGTTTCTGACGTTTCTCACGGAGTAATCTATTAATGTCACCGACACGGATTCTGCTGACTTCAGTTTGGCTTCTGTTTCCCATTGGACAGACTCTGTCCTCTATGGGGGAATGCCTCAAGCCAAAAAGAGAGGGAGAAAACCCAGCCCCTGAGCTAACTGAAAACAGGCCCAAAGGGAAGCGCTTTCCAGCCGCATCGCCTCTCGCTGACTGGCTTCTGTTCTGTGCTTGGGGACGTGCCAGACTTCAGTGCCTCCGTGCTTTTGATTCCTGTTTATCCCCAGCAGCATGATTGTCTATAATTATATATAATCTCTCCCTTGTTTACTCTTCTTCCTCCAGGTCTGAACACGGCTCAATGGCAACTCTCGGCTCAGTCTGCCAAGGCTCCAGCTCCGCACTGCTTCTCGGCATCCTCCACCTTCTTTTTCAGAAGTAACAAAGACATTTGATTTCCTCCCACCCCTTCCCTGCCGCCCCTGTGCTCTCCCCCTCCCCCTCACTGGCACGGGGTTATTTAGACAGAGTATGGAAACAATTTGCAGGCAAAGCGAACAATGTAATCCAGAGTGAGGCAGGGGAGACAAGTTTATTGTGCAGGCTTACAGACCCAGGAGTGAAACACTGTGTTTTGGGGGTGAGAGGGAGTGGACTGTTTTCCCTTCTTTCTGCTCTTCTCTCTCAACATCTCGCTGAACTGCTTTCCGTCTTGCTTTCCATCTCTGGTCCAAACCAGAGCAACCAGATCTGACTGCGTGTTTTGGAGGAAGTTCTCGTTGGATCCCTCCCTGCATTAGAGCTTGATGAGGCAGTA